ACCAAACTGGCTCTTAACCATTGATGATTACTCTGTCATTTTTCACACCCATTTAATGCCCATAAGGTTGTTTCCTGATTAAGAAAATAAGATGAGGTTACTCTAGGAAGACTCGTTCTTGACAAATCCAAATTGAGCTCTGGTAACTGCCACACTGATCAATCAAAACAATCTCTTTGTGATCTACTCTAGAACCTTGCCAGGTATCAATGTCAGACTGATTGATCTGCAGTTGCCTGGATTCTGCTTTTCCCCATTTAGAAGATAAGGATGTTTGTGCTCCTTCAGTCATCTGGTACTTCACTAGTAATCCATGATTTCTTAAAGAGAATATGAGAATGTATTCATTCATACATAAGAGAATGTTCAGCCATCAGCTAATTCCTTGAGTATCATATGATGCAGTTGATTTGATCTGGAGACTTAAATTCATTTAAAGTAAACATTCCCTGACAATCTCTCTACCAGTCTCAAGCTTCAATCCTGTCCTTTTGTAGTGTTTACAATTTCCCAGTGGAATGCCTACTTTTTTGTGGAGAGAGGTTGAACAAAAATGCAGGTAGCTTTCCCCTATCTCTCATTAGTTGTAGGCTGCCTTCTCAAGGAACTCTAGACAGCTTAGAATGTGCATAAATTAAAAACATTCATAACACCAGAATCACATTAAAGCCTTAAAACTTATCTTCACCTAAAATCTCCCTCACCAAATGCCCTGTGGAAGAAGACACTTTCAACTGGCTTCTGAAAAGATAAAAAGGTCAGGAGCTAACTTTTTGGACAAGCTGTTCCACAATGGGTAGGGGTGCCACCAAGAATGCCATTCTCCGGATCCTGGCCGCTTGATCCACAGCATCCTCTCTCAGCTAGATTGCTCAGCGGAGCAGGAAGATTCTACTTGGAGTAGGCTGCCCCCAAAGTAGCAAGGCCCCAAGTCATACAGGATCTTACAGGTTACAACCAGCACTTTGAATTCAGCCCAGAAGCCTACTGGCAACCAATGCAGCTCTTGCAACATAGGTGTTGTTCTGCTAAACCAGTTAGAGCCGGACAGCAAACAAGCAGCTGCATTTTGGGCCAGCTGCAGCTTCTAGGTTACCTTGAAGAGCAGCCCTACTTTGAGTGTGTTGCGATAGTCTAACTGAAAGAGACAAAAACTTAAGTCACTGTTTTCAGCATTTCCTACTCCAGAAATGGGCATAACTGCTGAAGGTGGCCAAAGGTCCTTCTGGGAAGCATAGCTTTTACTTGCTGTTCCAGCAAGAAACTGGAATCCTAGAGCTGCACGCGAGCTTTTTTAGAGCAGTGCAGCCCTGTCCAGAGCAATAGCTGAACTACTCAGAATTTCTCTGCCAACAGTAACTCCATCTTGCCAGGATTCAGTCTCAGTCTGTTTTACCCCATCAGTATCACACCATGCTGGCCAGGGAATTCTGGGAGCTGAAGTCCATACATCTTAAAGTTGCTGAGATTGAGAAACACTGAAATAGTGGAATCGCTATACAGCAGTTCCTCCTTTACTACCTGTTCACTCCTCACTAAGCAGATACTTCTCTTTTCCTTTTATTTTGAACACAGCTAAAGGAAATCTTTTGTTGCTGTTAGCATCATTTGTTAACCTCAGCCTACTCTGAGATTTAGTTTGCCAATATTATTTCTACAAATCCAGACTACCCGTGTCTACTCTTTCTTGGTGATCTGGTATCATCTCCTAGATACGTCCTTCACTAAGCTCAATAGCTGCTTCTGCTATCCTCCATTTTTTTCCTTTTTCATGGAAACTGCAACTGTGTTTATAGTATTTCCTTTCTTAGGAACTCCCACCTATCTGGAGCTCCTTTTCCCATTAGCTTCTCTTACCATAGCATTCTGTAGGACTATGTGCGAAATGGAATAGATCTTTTGAGTGGAACATAAGCTATCATGTCTAAAGGTTCCGCCAGAATTGTTTGAGATCAGTGGAGAAACAAAGCCCTAAACATTTTGTTTGTTTGGATTTTGACCAAAACAAAACAGATCCCAGAATGATTTTATAGACCAAATAGGACAAGGTGGGTGGACAATGCCCCCCTCTTTTGCCACACGTCCAGTGCACAGACCCAACTACCCCTCTTCAAGCACCTTCCCTCCTTTGCCTTCCATCAGCTGTCACTGCCAATATACCTATCTAAATATTTCCTGTTGATGAATATTAAGTCCTCTTGTGATGAAAGTTGTCTGCACTAATTCCTCTTAGCTTACAAGATAATTCATTTTCATATAATTAAGAGTTATACAGCTTCACTAATACTACTAGAATTGGATTGCAAAATGCAGTAGCAAAGCAATACATATTGTGGTCATTCAGATTCTTTCAGCTTAGTTCTGGTAGCTCTTCCCTCACTCCAGGATCATAATCCAGTAACGATCACTCAGATTTATTCATTTATTTGTTTATCAAATGTGTACTTATTTATCAAATTTGATCAGAAATCAACATAGCCATATTATATAGTAGTAGTAGAGATAAAATGCAATGAATGTGTCAGAAGGCAAACAATGCAGCAGCAAAAATTAATCAGGTAGTCCCCAACTTACAACCATACATTTAACGACAGTTTGAAGTTACAATGACGCTGAAAAAAGTGACTTACGACCAATCCTCGCACTTACAACTGTTGCAGCATCCCTGTGGTTGTGTGATCAAAATTCAGGCACTTGGCAATCAGCATGTATTAACGACAGCTGCAGCATCCCAGGGTCACATGATTGCAATTTGCAACCTTCCCAGGGAGCTTCTGACAAGCAAAGTCAATGGGGAAGCCAGATTCACTTAACAACTGTGTGATTTGCTTCACAATCACAGCAAAAAAGGTCATAAAATTGGGCATGACTCACTCAACAACTGCATCGCTTAGCGACATAAGTTCCAGTCCCAATTGTGGTCATAAGTCAAGGACTACCTATACGTAAGAAGCAGTGGATCAATATAAGATAATTTGCCAAATGGCAATTTACCAATGTGCTTATATCCAGATGTAGTACCCTGGCAAATTATGTGCAAACTTCTACCATTCACTGTTCCTCTAGATTTCTTATCAGTTCTGCAAAACTTAATAAATGCTTCATTTCTCATTTGGTATACTAAATAGCCTGCCATTTTACCAAGCAGCATTCCACTAGGACTACTATATCTGAGCTGCAAAAGTCTGGATAACCATTAGATGGCAGCAAAGGGTTAGAGCAGTGATTCTCAAAAGGTGGTCCATCAAACAGCCTCAGATTACTTAAGCTTGCTGTACATTAACAATTAGGTTAGAAGACCCACTCACCACCTCACCCCCACAGGCCAAGAGTGAGTTGATGAAAATCTACCTATTGCCTCAGCCTCCCTTCCTGCAAGCTGTCAAAAAGGACAAGATGGCAGATGCAGTACCTACCATCTTGCCTTTTTTAATCCTATCCTTCCCCTTCCTCTCCCATAAATACTGCAGTGGTCAAAATTATTCAGTAGAAATCTCCAAGCAATAAGAGGTAAGACACAGCTGGTTTGTAAGAATGGGTCAATGACTGAAGCATTCATGTGATAAACCAAGTATCAACACAAGTACTAATTCAGAAAACCGACACTAGTGTAGTTACCAACTGTGAATACATGTAAAATGTGGTAACTAGAACTGTGATCTTGCACAAGCAATTAAAAAAAAAAGTTCAAATAGGAAAGACAAGGATAAAGGTCTATATCTAAAAATGGGATTTTGCTGGGCTGGAGATCCACTTGTCCCTAGTCTCTTACCACTAGATTTCTACTGAAGAATATTCTTGACCACAGCAGTGTTTACATGAAAGGAGGGTAAAAAAGTCAAGATGGCAGACACTGCATCCACCATCTTGCCTTTTTTGCCCCTCCAACCCTGCAGACACCACTGCGTGACCAGAACTTCATGCTAAGAATTGTTATTACAGTGTAGGATATATAGAATAATTCAAGCAGTAAATAATTACTAATTTTGGATTAAAATTTCCAGTATAACATGTAGTTAAGTAAGGCCTTCAAAAATGGGGAGAATAAGACATTCACAAAGGCACCTACATTACCTTATAATTTGCCAAAACTGAGAATGAATTCCCATGCTCTTAAAATGAACATGTAGGGAGGGATGTGTGTTTAATTGGGTGCTCCCTGCATTTTCTGAATATTAGCGGACCAGAGCTGCAAGATGTTTTGAGAAACATGAGGTTTTCTGTATCTCTTTGCTGCCACTTTGCTGTCTAGATATTTGTAGCTCAAATTTCTCCACCCTAAATTTACCTCTCTGCAAAAGTTGATCTGTATTTACCCCATTTGTAAATTAAAAGTGAGAGCCAGTTTGGTGCAGGCTAGAAACGGGGAGACCATGAGCTCTAGTCCCACCTTAGGCAAGAAGCCAGCTGGGTGACCTTGAGCCAGTCACACTCTCTCAGCCCTAGGAGGATGGCAATGGCAAGCCACTTCCAAAGATCTTGTCAAGAAAACTGCAGGGACTAGTCCAGGCAGTTGCCAAGAGACAACACTGACTTGAAGGCTTAAAAAATAAAAAAGTATTCAGTGTGAGTTACTAATATTAACATACTTTCATCACCCATTTGGAAAACAGTGGGCAAAGTCCTGAAAATTAACTGCCCAGCCTTTCTGAAGTACAGCAGAAATTTCAATGATAAATTTGCTAAAGATACATCAAGTATATATACATAAGCACTCTTCGTTATATAACTTACGAGTTATATAAGTTATAACTAAGATAACACATGATGATGATGATGAATATCTGCAAACCCAGAACTCGGGATTTTCATTAATTCAGATTAAGCATTCTGGAGTTAAAGGCACAGAAAAGGGCAGTGAAAAGCACAATCCAGCGATTAACTGCGAAACAACTTGCTTCTGCGACGTCGAAAGCTCTTGCCTGCGTTGACCCAGCTATTTCCTGCCGCGAATAGCCCAAGGCCTCGCTCCAGGGACTTCGGGGGAGTCACTGCCTTACCAAGCGGCGAGGAAGCGGGCGCCGGTCGGCGACTCGTCGGGGCTAGGCCGTGGGCTCTTCAAGCCTTCTCAAGACCTTCTCGAGGCCCCGCTGGTGGTTCGGAAGGAGGCCGCGTCCCCCGTTAGTCGGCCGCCCGGTTAGTTTCGCTCTTACCAAGGGCGTCGGAGGAGACGATCGCTGCTCCCCCGCCTCTCACCGCGGACTCAGCGTCCCTCCCGCGGAAGGGGGCCTCGGAGCGCCTATGCAACCCCGCCTCCTGTCTAGGCCGGGCCCAGGTGGCGCGGCGTTGCGCTTCGTTTGGCTGGCATTTCACTGGATTAAAGATGAGGCGGAATATGAGAGGCCTGCCAGAAAGCGAAGGGCGGTATGTGTCCATCCGTCCTTCGGGTATGCTCGATAAATGAGGGAAACTTTAACCCGCTCTGAATTTATTTTCAGACTCAACATTATCTTTGTCTAGACCAGTGTTTTTTAAACTCAGCAAAGTTAAAAAGGGGCGTGGTTTTCATCTCC